ACGGGGCATGAAAAGAAAAAGCACGCTCTCCAATTGTCTTTTTTCTGGCTCTAGGAACCTTTAGAAGGCCAGAGTCCTGAGATCGGAGAGCACGGGATGGAACGTAAAGATGTAAAAGGTCGGAGAGGTATGAAGGTGCCAGTCCGTTTAAAGCCTTGTAGGTGAGCAGCAGGACCTTTAAAATTTGCTCGACCTGACAAGGTAGCCAATGAAGAGAGTTCAGTACAGGGCTAATGTGCTCAAATTTCCCAGTTCTTGTTAAAATGCGAGCAGCTGCATTTTGCACCATCTGTAGACCTCTAAAACTTTTCTTTGGTAGCTGAGAAAGAAGAGCATTACAATAATCAATACGTGAGGACACAAATGCATGGACAAGAACCTCTGCAGTGTCGCTTGACAAAACTTGTCTGATTCTGGCTATGTTCCTCAAATGATAAAAGGCGGTCTTTGTTATCTCTTTTACATGAGACTCGAAAGAGCACCATGTCGAACCACACATGGTGTGTACAACTTTGCACAGGTCTTTGAACCTTTGATTTAAATGAGCTGCATACTTTTCCCATTTAAAACCTTCACAATCCCACTGTGATGAAAACATTTTAACTAAATATATTCTGGATAAATCAAAGCATTATCAAAGTTGTCCTTGGTTCCTTTTCTTTTTCCTTCTTTCCCTGTCAGATCCTGTCCTGCAGGGTAAACATAAGTGAGTGGTTTCCTGTATGCAGCTGTTATAGTTTGTGTTGGAGATACTTGTGCAAAAAAACAAAAAACAACAACAAATTTCTAGAAACTGTTTTAAATGTTTTTAGCACTCCCTCAACTACAGAGAACATGTGTCTATTCTCCCCCTGTTCTCTCCATCTCTCAGCTGCTGCTGGCTCCTTTTCTCCTCCTCTTCCTCACACACTGCTGAATCTGTCCTGGTGTTTCATCAGGGATGGAGAGCCTCTGTCCCGTCTCCTCTCACCTTCTCAGTCTCTCCTTACTCTGGACGCTTGTAGAAGGAAATGAAACCATGGTAGTTAACTGCAAAACCAGCAGAAGTTTCCTTCTAAATTTGAAGGCTGCTCATGTATGCTGTGCGGCTCATCTGTGTCTGTTATTTCTGACATACGTCTCTGAGTCTTCTTTCCACCTCCCAGCGGGATTTATCCGAGACGCTTTCTTTCCACATCTTTCTGAATTTCCTCTGTTTGACCAGGTCTTTTAGGATGGCCTTTCCATGAGCTCTGCAGAGAGAAGCATTTTTAATCAGCACTTTAGTTTCTAAGTAAATGCAGAGAATTTATCAAAAGAAAGTCAAAATAGAAATATCAGCCTATAATTGTTAAAAGTTCACACTGACCTGACTTCAGAGGAAGTATCCTGACACAGTTCACTGACAGCCAACAGGAAGCATTTGGTGAAAATCCATCTTGCAGACAGGACTTTCTCCGCTTCCATGAATTTATTGATTATAAGGAGCCCCAGTGCGGCACCAGCTCTCACGAGAACGCTCTTATGTCTGAGGAAGGAAACACAGACAAATCCACTCAGTGTGTTTGATTTTCACC